AGAGATAAATAAAACATTGTGACTGAGCAGGAACCACGTGCACACAACATCATATCAGGAGGGCCTGAGCATGAATGTGCAAGGGGGACAGCTGAGCAACTATAAAGTCTATAGGGACCAGACCCCATCACTTACATGAAGGCAGCCATTTTTATTCACAAATCACAAAATGTAGCCCTTGTACTTTAACAAACTTATCTCAGGGTTTTAATCTGATGGACTCCGAACTGAGACAACATCATCAGGACATATCTGGGACTAAAAGTTGTTAAAATATTTTATATAAATCTCAGGATGTGGTCAGCTCTTATTAACTATGCATCCATTTTGAAAACATAAAAATCCTTGTAACTCTTACAAACATGGTCAGATTCAAACAGAGCACATGTGGCGTATTTGATGACCTGGACATAATGAGATGTGAATTAAATATCTATTTTAAAAAATGGCTCTCCTGCACTCAGTGCAAATTAACATGTTACAGAAGCATTTATCTACAACGTCACCCTCAAATATTGAATCATGTCAAGCCAGGGTTGGCAGCCCTCCCAATGAAACATGCCCTTCACGGTCGCAAAGATTGCGAGGGCCCTTTATTACTGTGTACAGTTTTAATTAACATTAACATTAACATTGTATTCTGGGTTAGAATTATGGGCATATTGGGCATATAGGTTTAGGGTCAAGCTAAAGATAAAATCAGTGCAGCAGTTAATTTTTTCTTGTATTTTATAATAGACACATTCAGTATTAAACAAGACATGCTACGTCATGTAAACTGAAAGTGAACAGAATGAAAATGTGTTTAAAACAACTTCAAATCTGTCACTAAACCATATTGTCAGGAAAAAAAAAACATAATGCTGTACAAAAAGCAACAGATGGGCAGCTCACAGTGCAAGCTTAGCAGGAGGGTGGAGCCAGAACACAGTGGTTATGAGCCATCAGAGCCACCCAGCTGGAATGAAAGGCACCGGAGGAGCACACACAACAAAGTAGTGGACACGTATCCTGTGGCAGCAGACATGTGTAGAGACATATACAGGCCGTTTGAAGGCCACAGGAGAGGAAGGGAGGCCAGGCTCTCTGCAGGGCTGCAAGCACATAACAAGCACTGTGGCTCTGTTTTCACTACACGGACCACAATGCATCTTTCCGAAAAGAAGGCAAAGGACAGTATTCCAATCACCTGAAGATGCTGACTTCAAACTGTACTTTTGTCACTAAATTACAGGGTACTGCATTTTTAAAACAGGCACTTACTGGGATTTTGATCCCAATTTAAGACATTTTCCAAGAAGTTTGATTGGAAGCAGAACATATTACTGAATAATATTCTATTGCTATAGTCTGTTCTGTACTATTACTACTATATGTCTGCTGAATGCATGAAAGTTATTTTTTAATAATATACCAAGTTTGTGGGCTTGTGTACATGTCTCCTGTCTGTTCATTATAATTGTATAGATTATCAAAAGTGCATTATTTGTATATTTCATGTAATGTGAAACCCTGTGTCATCAGAGAACACAAGTATGTACAATGTGGAAGCTCAGATCAGATCACCCAGGAAACCACCTGGAAAAATCAGCTGATGTCCCTGAATCTCAATGAAGGCTCCTGGTCAGTTACCTTCTGGTCACTTACCTGGTCAGGCTAACATTAGCACACAGTCTTTGTGATTAGGTTGTCCCAAGAAGAAGCAGTGGCTTTCAAAGTGCAACCCATAAAGGAACACATTGCACCCCACGACCCATGCATTGAAGCTTTTAGTAGAAAGAACATGCTCCAAAACTGACCAAAACACGGCTGACTCCTTTTAGTGGCACACACACACACACAGACACAGATACACACAGAGACACACAGCTGTGACTGCCACTAGGCCTTATAATTGTACCCGCTGGGACCTGTGACGACCTATCACCACTGCCCGGGATGCAAAGAAAATGTCATTTATGCAGCTTTCAGCCCACTTTCTTTCTGTGTTTACAACTCAACTTTTCTTTTCATGAATTTATTTTTTCTCTTTTATCCAGCTTTTTACCCTGCCCCTGACATTTCTTCCTCTTTGTCGCCTCTCCCTCCATTGTTTCCAAGCTGATTCTCTCTTCCCCACAGCACCAGTGATGTGGGCTCCCTGGAGATAGGCCTAGTTATGTGCAGTAGACCGCCTAGATAAGGGCTCCACTTCCTGGGGAGAAGAATACAAAAATCCCTGGCATGTGTTGAATGGAGAATCGTGCAGTGGAAAGATTGTGTAGAATATGAATATTTGAAGAGGTGGCCAAGCTTACATGAAAACAGTACATAAATCACATATGGTTACATTAAAACAGTAATAATGTGTGGTGTTGATGAAGCATTGTCCAGCACAGTTCAGTATGAAGACCGAGACACATTTGGGGAGGACGCCATAACTTTATTTTGCTGTTTGTCAGCTTTAGATTTATTACTCTCTTTCTCCATCTCATACTTTCTCCTGTACTTCTCCTCTGGG